GCTGCTATAATTAGCATAGCAAATGGTTTAGCTGTCATCCTAGACACTTTTTTTTTTAATGATTTCTTTTAACCCAGTAAACTGTTTTAGTTTCCTAGGTAAAAATTTTCAAGTAGATATTACAAGTGTTTTCAGTTCAGGTTATCCTGATAATTGTTGTGTGTTAATAGCCCCTCCCTTTGAAAATTTTGGTGTCCTTGGTGCCTGGGTGGCTCAGTGGGTTGGGCGTCCAGCTCTTGATTTCGGCTCAGGTCATGATCTCACAATTCATGAGTTCAAGTCCCGTGTCAGGCTCTGTGCTAACAGTGCAGAGCCTGCTTAAGATTCTCTCTCTCCTTCTCTCTCTGTCCCTTCCCTGCTCATGCATGTGCCCTCTCTCTCAAAATAAATAAACTTAAAAAAAAAATTTTGGTGTTCAAGAACCTCTCTAATCTCAATTCATCTTCCACCTCTCATTCATTCATTCATTTATTCAACAAATATTTATTAAACACTTTCTATGTGCCAGGTTCTATGTGAGGCACTGGGGATAGGAGATCAACAGGATAACCTTTACATATGCAGTAGTTGCCCCCCCGACCCTTATCCATGGTCTCAGCTTCCATGGTTTCAGTTACCCACAGTCAACCTTGATCTGAAAGTAGATGATTCTCCTGACCTATGCTCAGAAGGTTAGTAGTAGCCTAATGTTAGGTCATCATGTCCACGTCACTCACCTCCCTTCATCTTATCATGTGGACGTTTTACTTCATCACAAGAAGGGTGAGTACAGTATAAAATATTTTAAGAGAGACCACATTCATATAACTTTTTTGGCAGTATGTTATAATTGTTGTACTTTATTATTAGTTGTTCATGTCTTACTGTGCCTCATTTATAAATTAAATTTTACCTTAGGTATGTGTAGGAAAAAAGGATAGTATATATATAGAATTTGGTGCTATCTGTGGTTTCAGACATCCACTGGGGGTCTTGGGATATATCCCTCATGAATAAGGGGGAGACCACTATATTTTTATCATTAACCAAATACGACCAGTCACCATCCCAAATAGGTTTTTATGGTGATTTCACAGCCTAGAAATCCCCCCTTCATTGTCTTGGTAAACCTTGCCTGTCCTTCAAGATGTAGTTCAAGTGTCCTCCCAGGGAAAGAGTTCTGTCCCACCTCAGACAAAATTATCACTTCATTTCTGTAGCTCTTTGTATTCTACTTTCATATTAAATAAGCAACAGTCAAAAATAGAAAAATTCTCATTCTCATTTTATAGCTGAATAAATACTCTCAGGGTAGATTCTCCAGACCTAGACAGTGGATAACAGTGAGATTTGAACCCAGCCTGTGAGGCTCTGAAGGCTGGGTCCCCCATGAGGAGAGGGTAGGGCAGACTTACTATGTGGGAGCTGGGTCTTCAGACCCAAGGATTGGCTTTTCCAGGCGGTGTATGACATTGAGCAACTCTCAAGATTTCAGAACCCTCATCTGTAAAATGGTAATTTGACCTCTTTCTGCTGCATGTGAGATATAAATATGAAAGTGCTCCAAAGTTATTTTCCCCAGTTAACACAAAGAGCATTATGTCTGTACCAGAAGTTTTATGTGGCTGTAACCATAGCATAGAAACAGTTTTGTTTTCTGTATAAAACTTTTTAACTGAAATAGGTACGTAGGGTTCATTAAACTGTTCTTTCTACTTGAGTCCATACTTGAAATTTTCCACCAAAGGGGGTTTATGAAAAAGGCTTTCCGCTTATAAGGTGCCGTGTAATTACAAGTGGTATTACTATCATAATAATTGTTTCTGTAGTTGTCTTTCTCAGCTTTAGATGTTTGCTTTCCTGAAGGCAGGAAGTGCCTTCCCCCTTAGCGTGTCTCCCCAGTGATGACACGGCAGACTGTATGAGTGTGGAGACCAGTACAGTTCTTGTTAAGTGACACTTTGAGGCCTGGGTCAGAGGATCGGCCTCCAGGCCGAAGCCACCTTAGAAGGGTGCCCTTCTGGTGTTTCAGTAACTAAATCCTGATGGCAGCGGGGGGGCCACAGTGGATTTGGTACAGATTCAGTTTCTCTGCAAAAGAATTGCGTTATAAATCAGTTTCGAAGCGATGCCAGAGAACATTCTTTATGTGTATTTTTAAAATTAGTTTTGAATAGGTAATATGAGCACATGATACAGAATTTTTACTGTGTCCAGCTCTTTCCCTACAGACATAGTCAGGGTCCCTAGACTCTGGGTCACATTCCAGAGGCAGTCTAAATTGATACGACATCTAGATCTTTCGTCCACATAGTTTGACATTTTGCTTTTTTCCCCTTTTGTCGTGTTGAGTCCTATCAGTGCTAACAGTTGCCGCCTCAGTCTGCACACATATCCTATATGTATTTATATAGGATTTATATAACTCTCTTCCTATTGATGGACGTTTAGATTGTGATACCATAAACTTAGAGAAAACAAATTTGACAACAAATATCTTTATAGATAGTTCCTGTATACATATACAAATAAGTTCCCCCCTGCAGTGTTCAGGCGTGCAGATTTGTGCTCACTCTTGACAATATAGAGGATCAAAACTTTTTGATCTTTGCCAATCATATAGACGCAGATGGTCCCCAACTTACCATGGTTTGATTTACGATTTTTTGACTTTATGATGGCACGAAAGCAATACACATTGAGTGGAAACCATACTTCAAATTTTGAATTTGGATTTTTTCCGGGGCTGGCGATGTGCCCTACAGTACTTTCTTGTGATGCTGGGCAGTGGCAGCAGCCCCAGCTCCTCCTACACCACACAATCACGAAGGTCGACAACCTATACAACCATTCTGCACGCAGATCACCCTTCTGTTCAGTTTTGGTACTGTACTCAATAAATGACATCAGATAGCACTTTGTTACAGGCTTAATGTTAGAGGATTTTGCCCAACCTTAGGCTCTTGTAAGGTAGGCTTGGTTGAGTGTGATGTTCAATAAGGAATATTAAATGCATTTTCTGCTTAGGATATTTTCAACCTATGATAGGTTTTGAGGATGTAAACCCATCATAAGTTGAAGATCTGTTTAATGTTTTCATCTGTACCCTGACTTAATGTGTTTAAAACCCATTTGTTGGGGAGTGACCACAGAGGCATTCAGGTTTTCTATTTAGGGTGATGGTTGCACAATTTTGGTGAATACACTCAAAACCACTGAATTGTGCACTTTAAAGAGGTGAATTTTGTGGCGTGTGAATTCTGTTCTCGCCGAAGCTGCTATGTAAAAAAAAGGTATTCATCTTTTCTGCAAACTGACTTCATTTCCTTTGTTTTTCTGTTGCTCTTTCTCTTCCAGGAAACTGTTTTCAGTCTTTGTTGTGTTATATGCCTTTTTTCCCCTTGATGACCATTTGCTCTTTTGATCTTGATTCCTTGATTTTGCTCTTTTCTAGCCACATGGAAAATTTTCATGTTTATATTTCCTCTTTTTTATATATTTAAATCTTTGATTTAGTTGGGACTTATTTTGCCATAAGTTGTGAGAAAGGGATGTAGCTTTTTTTCTCTCAGATAATACCCAATTTTCCCTGTACTGTTTTTTAAAAAGTAATCCATTTTACCCCAGTGATTTAAAATAATATTTTTATCATATACTGAGGGTTTTTTTTATATATTAGAGTCTAATTTCTGGACTTTTGATTCTGCCCTGTTATTCTGGTTGTTTCCTGTGCTGCTACTATACTGTTTTAATTACTTTTATTATAAAGGTTTAGTCTGGGTTTTATTGTTTAAAAAGTTTTCCCAGTCAAAAAAAATATTTTTGCCCGATCATTCTTGATTGTTTTCCCCTAATGAACTTCAGAAACAGCACTTAAGGATTTAAGAATACTTAAATCTTGAGGGGGCCTCAAGGGGTATCTGGGTGGCTCAGTCAGTTAAGCGTCCAATTCAGCTCAGGTCATGATAGTTTGTGAGTTTGAACCCCACATCGAGTTCTGCGCTGGTATCACAGAGCCTGCTTGGAATTCATTCCCCCCCCCCCGCCCCGCCTGCCTCTCTCTCTCTCTCTCTCTCTCTCTCTCTCTCTCTCTCTCTCTGCCTCCCGTGTTCATGTACATACACACACACTCTCTCTCTCTGTCAACAATAAACATTAAAAAAAAATAAAGAATACTACTGATATTTTATGGTTATTATATTAATCTGTAGATGGAATTCACCCATCTTTACCCATTCTTTCCTGTTATCATTATTATTATTATTATTATTATTATTATTATTATTATTATTGTATTATGTCTGCTCATGTCTTCGGACCAATGTTAAATAATAGTGATTATAGTAGAAATTCTCAGATGCCTCCTTGTGTTTAATAGGCATGCTTTGGGCATCATATATTAATGTTCATAAGTGAAATTAGTCTGTATGGTTCTTTTGGTTTCACTCCCATGTTTGGTTTTATTCTCTAGAAATAATTTCTAAACTTCCTTTTTAATTTTTTTAATCTGTGGAACAATTTTAGTACTATTGGTTTTACTTAAAGGTTTGGTGGTAGAATTCATCTGTGAAATTGAATGGCGCTCTTAACTTTTGGGGGTAGTTTTTAGAGACTTACTCTACTTCTTTATTTTTTTTCAAGTTTATTTATTTTGATAGAGAGTGTGCCTGTGAGCATGAGCGGGGGAGGTGAGAAAGAGAACTCTAAGCAGGCCCCATGCTGTTAGCACAGAGCCTGACTGGGGCTCAGTCTCATGAACTCGTGAGATCATGACCTAAGCCAAGATCTAGAGTTGGACGCTTAACTGACTGAGCCACCCAGGTGCCTTAAGACTCATTTTACTTCTAATATAATCAGTCTGTTTTCTCTTTTGGGACCAGTTTTCCTTGAAAATTAAACATTTTTGGAAGTTTTGGGATGGTTATATGTGGACAGACTGTAGTATTCTTCTATTTCTCTTAACCTTTTTCTGTGTCTTATTTTGTGTTCTTCATATTGACTTTTTTTGTTCTTTCCTCCAGGAACAGGAAATATAGTGGTCATTATGGTTAGCTACCCAAAAGGAAGAGAAATTATGGATCTGGTGCAGAAAGGCATTGCAGTCAAAATGACCATAGGAGTTGGCACCCGTCATGTGCAGGAGTTCATCAGTGGTCAGTCTGTGGTATTTGTGGCCATTGCCTTTATCACCATGATGATTATCTCTTTAGCCTGGCTGATATTTTACTATATACAGCGTTTCCTATACACTGGCTCACAGTTTGGAAGTCAGGTAATTATGGATAATTCTTTTTAACTTTACTTTTTAAAAGATAGCTCATAAATATTTCTCATATATATTGTCTTTAAGTTATATTTGAGGTTTTTTTTTTTGGACCGTATTCTTAATTTCATTTTCACTCATACTGTTTAATTACTACACAACTTTTTGAAAATAACTTTTTAATTAGAATATATTAAATTTTCTGTTCTGTAGGATATTAAATACCTTTAAATGGGGTCACTTTTTGCATATTTTGCTCCTGCAGATACCCTCTTTGCCTTTTTCAGACATAAAGGGGTAATAAATAGGCCTGAGGTAGAGTGGACCTGGTTCTGTGTTTAAAATAAAAGAACACTGGGCCTGAAGGCCAGGAGCAGAGTGGGAAGGCCTTCCCGGCTTCCATTGTGGGGCAACTTTCAAGGCAGTTTTTCTGCAGAGAGACAGTGTCTCTGTCACAACAAAGAGGAGGGCAGTAAAAGAAGAGCCAGAGGCTTCCAAAGACAGGACTTTGAATTTCATGCTTATCCTGTTGTCTTGAAAAGCCACCCTGTCTGGCTTTGGTAGTCGTCTGGCATCTGGTAGTTGTGTCTGGGTCATCTGGCACCTGCTGCATAGGAAGCCGCCTTCATTTTAGGGACAGACGTTAATATATTGATGAATATGTGGGGCCCCCATCCTCAGCTTACTCCTCTCTTGCCAACATTTAAACGTGAGAATTGGTTTCTTCCCCAGACATGGAGTTGAAAATCAGTATTCTTGATCAAACATCTCTTTAAGTTATATATGGCTATTTTATACATTAGGATGTAAATATTAGTTTTTGTTATTTTCATTGTAGTCATTCAACTTTGTTTTTTAAGTGAAGCTTTTTCTATAAGCTTATGTAAATTTTTGAAAATAGTGACTTAAAATTTTTAATGATGATATTTTTCCTACCTAAGAGTCATAGAAAAGAAGCTAAGAAAATTATTGGCCAACTTCCACTTCATACTGTAAAGCATGGAGAAAAGGTAATATTTTCATGAGGTTTTTTTTGTTTGCTTCTTTTAAAGTATGTATCTGTTTATATGTCTAAGTAAAACTTCCCATTCTGTTAAACTCACCTTGACCATGTGGAGTTTTGGCTGGTTTGAGTTAGAACTAAGTTGCATACATGTTTCATTTTGGAGAAGGGTTGGCAGAAATACTCCTTTGCACATGTGAAGAGCCTTCCAGACCTGTGCCATCAGATAGGGTAGCCTTTAGTCATAGATAACTATTATAATTTAAAAGAATGAAATTGAACTTACAATTCAATTCCTGAGTCACACTAACTACATTCCAAATACTCAAATGGCCCCATTGGCTGGTTGCTACCATACTGGATAGGACCGGTATGTTCATTTGCTAAGAAAGTTCTTCCTGTTGGTCAGTCACAGATGACTCTAAGGAACCTAAAGAACTTCAAGTTCCGTTAGACTATAGACCTTTGATAGTTTAAATTCATTTCTGTTAAATCTGAGGCTGTGTATCCATTCTCTCTGATTCCCTTAATTGCAGGGAAAAAATACTGGGATTTGTGGAGAGGGGGAGAACAGATGTACTTAAAACTGCTTTTTAAAAAAAGAAAACATTTTGACATGGCCAACATGAGACTGAAAAGGTCAAAATCATACCAGAGTTTTAAAGCATTTTTGGAATAGGACAGATCCTAATCTAGAACCTCAGATTCTAGAGGATTGATTCTTTAAAAGGAAAACAGTTGCTAATGAAGTAGTATTCACTTTTTTATTTGTCTGTCTTCTGTGCTGTAAAGTGTGGATAACCATGTTGACTTGTTGGTTGACGTGGTTGGTTCTGTTGTTTTTTGTTTTTGTCTTTGTTTTTGTTTTTATCATTTTTTTAAATTTTATTTTTTTAATTTACATCCAAATTAGTTAGCATATAGTGCAACAGTGATTTCAGGAATAGATTCCTTAATGCCCCTTACCCATTTAGCCCATCCCCCCTCCCACAACTGCTCTAGTAACCCTCTGTTTCTTCTCCATATTTAAGAGTCTCATGTCTTGTCCCCCTCCCTGTTTTTATATTATTTTTGCTTCCCTTCCCTTGTGTTCATCTGTTCTGTGTCTTAAAGTCCTCATATGAGTGAAGTCATACGATATTTGTCTTCTCTGACTAATTTCACTTAGCATAATACCCTCCAGTTCCATCCACTTGGTTGCAAATGGCAAGATTTCATTCTTTTTGACTGCCGAGTAATGCTTCATTGTATATAGATACCACTTCTTTATCCATTCATCCATCAATGGACATTTGGGCTCTTTCCATACTTTGGCTATTGTTGATAGTACTGCTATAAACATTGGGGTGCAAGTGCCCCCTTCGAAACAGCATCCCTGTATCCCTTGGATAAATACCTAGTAGTGCAATTGCTGGGTCGTAGGCTAGTTCTATTTTTAATTTTTTGAGGATCCTCCATACTGTTTTCCAGACTGGCTGCACCAGTTTGCATTCCCACCATCCGTGCAAAAGAGATCCTCTTTCTCCGCATCCTCGCCAACATCTGTTGTTGCCTGGGTTGTTAATGTTAGCCGTTCCGACAGGTGGGAGGTGGCATCCAATTGTGGTTTTGATTTGTATTTCCCTGATGATGAGTGATGTGGAGCATTTTTTCATGTGTTGGTTGGCCATCTGGATGTCTTCTTTGGAGAAGTGTCTATTCATGTCTTTTGCCCATTTCTTCACTGGATTATTTGTTTTTTGGGTGTTGAGTTTGATAAGTTCTTTATAGATTTTGGATACGAACCCTTTATCTGATATGTCGTTTGCAAATATCTTGTCCCATTCTGTCAGTTGCCTTTTAGTTTTGCTGATTGTTTCCTTTGCTGTGCAGAAGCTTTTTATTTTGATGAGGTCCCTGTAGTTCATTTTTGCAGTTGTTTCCCTTGCCTTTGGAGACGTGTTAAGTAAGAAGTTGCTGTGGCCAAGATCAAAGAGGTTTTTGCCTGCTTTCTCCTCAAGGATTTTGATGGCTTCCTGTCTTACATGGAGGTCTTTCATCCATTTTGAGTTTATTTTTGTGTATGGTGTAAGAAAGTGGTCCAGGTTCATTGTTCTGCATGTCACTGTCCAGTTTTCCCAGCATCACTTGCTGAAGAGACTGTCTTTATTCCATTGGATAGTTTTGCCTGCTTTGTCAAAGATTAGTTGGCCATACGTTTGTGGGTCCATTTCTGGGTTCTCTGTTGTGTTCCATTGATCTGAGTGTTTTTGTGCCATGTTTTTGTTTTTAAAGGTTTATTCATTTTTCAGAGATAAACAGAGCGTGAGTGGGGGAGGGGCAGAGAAAGAGGGAGACACAGAGTCCTAAGCAGGCTCCAGACTCCGAGCTATAAGCACAGGGCCCTATGCTGGGCTCAAACTCACAGACCATGACCTGAGCTGAGGTCAGACGCTCTGAGCCACCCAAGTGCTCCCCCCGCCCTTTTTTTTTTTTTCTTACATCTCACCAAATTGTTGAGACTTCACTTATTCCACTCTCTCTTCCCCCTTCAAAAATAACCATACTTATTGTATGTATCTCTTCTGACCAACTTAAAGGTTTAAAACAAATAACTCATTAGAGGCTCCTGGCTGCCTTAGTCAGTGCAGCATGAGACTTTTGATCTTACGGTTGTAGAGTCAAGCCCCACCCTGGATGTAGAGATTACTTAAAAATAAAATCTTTTTTTTTTTTTTTAATTTTTTTTTTTCAACGTTTATTTATTTTTGGGACAGAGAGAGACAGAGCATGAACGGGCGAGGGGCAGAGAGAGAGGGAGACACAGAATCGGAAACAGGCTCCAGGCTCTGAGCCATCAGCCCAGAGCCCGACGCGGGGCTCGAACTCACGGACCGCGAGATCGTGACCTGGCTGAAGTCGGACGCTTAACCGACTGCGCCACCCAGGCGCCCCTAAAATCTTTAGAAGAAGGAGGGGGAGGGGGAGGGGGAAGGGAAGGAGGGCGAGGAAAACATAATACTCATTAAATATAGGCCTTTGATTTTTTTTTAACTTTGGCTTCTGATATTAATGGGTTATTTAGAATATTAATATGGAGATACTCGTGGAATTACATCGTTGGCTGCCATTCTTTCCTTCATGCCTTAAACAGAACTAACAGTTGAATTTTAATAGTTTGTGCAGGGTACTGGTTTCTTCCCATGTAAATGTGTACTGAACAGAAAAAGTAAAAAATAAATAATAGAAGTTTCTCATGTCACAGCTTAGGTTTAGCACCTGATGTACAGATCACTGAGGGTCCTTGGGGAGAGAGTCTCCAGTGAAAGCCTGTGACAAACTGTACATGCATTAGATGTGGCCTGTTACTTGAGTAGCATGTAGTTTTATGTTCCCCTGAGAAAATGTCTTTTACTCCATAGCAGGAAGTCTCAGTCTATAAAATATGAGAAAACAGAGGCTTATATGTATAATATACTGAATTGAATCTTTGAGAACATAAGTCAATTGATATCCTCTTCCTAATACAGAGCATATTTTAAATAGAACATTTTTGAAAATATGATTCCACTGTTTTTGAAAGTTGTCAAAATAGGGGCGCCTGGGTGGCTCAGTCAGTTGAGCGTCTGACTTAGGCTCAGGTCATGATCTCACCGTTCATGGGTTTGAGCCCCGTATCAAGCTCTGTGCTGACAGCTCATTGCCTGGAGCCTGCTTCAGATTGTGTCTCCCCCTCTCTCTGCCCCTTCCCTGCTTATGCTCTGTCTCTCAAAAATGAATAAATGTTAAAAAAAATTTTTTTTTTTAAGTTGTCAAAATAATGGTTAAAAAAGGATCCCTAGGGGCACCTGGGTGGCTCAGTCGGTTGAGCGTCTGACTTGGGCTCAGGTCATGATCTCATAGCTTGTGAGTTCAAGCCCCATGTCAGGCTCTGTGCTGACAGCTCGAAGCCTGGAGCCTGCTTTGGATTTTGTGTCTCCCTCTCTCTCTGCCCCTAACCCACTCGCATTCTGTCTCTGTCTCTCTCAAAAATAAACAAACTTTAAAAAAAAAAAAAAAAAGGATCCCTAAATGGCCTGTGAGGTACATAAATGGGTTTTCTTTCTTTCTTACTTTCTTTTTTTCTTTTTGTTTTTTGTTAAGTTTTATTTCTTTAATCTGTACACCCCAAATGGGGCTCAGACTCACCACCCTGAGGCCGAAGAGTCGCATGCTTTTTCGACTGAGCCAGCCAGGCACCACATACATAGATTTTCTGATGATTCTGATTGAACTTGTACTGAAAAGTGTGTTTTCTTAAATCTACATCATGTCCAGTTCTAGAGACAGGTTTGTTTTCTAGTTTTCTTATGGGTGCATTCACAGTAATGTGTAAGTTGGCAAACCATTAGGGGCTTTAAAAATTATTTCATCATGGGGCACCTGGCTAGCCCAGTCAGTTGGCTAAGCGTCTGACTCTTGATTTTGGCTCAGGTCATGATCCCAATGTTCGTAAGATTGAGCCCCACATTGGGCTCTACACTGACAGCATGAAGCCTGCTCGGGATTCTTTCTCCCTCTTTTCTCTGCCCTTTCCTTGTGCACATGTTGTCTTCTCTCTCATAAAATAAATAAATAAACTTAAAATAAATTATTTCATTACTTTTGCATGGCATATGATAAAACAAGTGATAATATTTACTTTAGTGGTACCATACCATTTTAAATGTTAAGAAATTTTCATATAATCTTTGATAATAATAATCAGTTTTTACTGCTTGCTTGCTAGCAAGTGATACACATGGCTCAGTGTATTTTTAAATAATTACATAAGGACAGGGTAGCCATGTTCCCATACAATCCACTTGCTAAAGTTGCAGCTACATGCAGACACTGGTTGTAATTTCTGAATCTATCCCGGAACCAAAGAGAGTCTCATTGGCCTGTTGATTTGAAGTGGTCAGATGACCACTCTGGCCATGCCTGCTTTGGTTGATTAGTTGAGGCCAGGTGGTTTAATATGGGGGGTACCCTGGGAAACGGGGGGAAAGCTGATACCACCAAAAAGGTCTGTGATTCATAGATTCTTAGAAGTGGAAATTTTGTCACAAGACTTTTCCTCTCCAGCACATTTTATTTCTTTTTGCCTTTGTTAATTTGATGGATGAAGAACAGTAATTGAGGGGTGCTTGGGTGGCTCAGTCAATTAAGCATCTGACTTTGGTTCAGGTCATGATCTAATGGTTCATGAGTTCAAGCCCCATGTCAGGCTCTGTGCTGACAGCTCAGAGCCTGGAACCTACTTCAGATTCTGTGTCTCCCTCTCTCTCTCTGTCCCTCCCCTGCTCACACTCTGCCTCTCTCTCTCTCAAAAATAAATAAACACAAAAAAAATTAAAAAGAAAAAAAAACAGTAATTGACTTTAATCTGTGATTCTTTTATCATTAGTGAGGTGAACATTTTCAGATATTTAGCCATTTGTGTTTCTCATTTACAAGTTGAAACCATGTTCTTTAGCAAATTCTAGTGAATTTTTGTTAATGATTCTAGAAATGAGTATCTTACTGGATTTTAATCCTCTTTATAAGTTTTACATTTGAAAAATAACTTACCATTGTAAAGCAAGCATGTGCATTTATTTCCATAACCCTTAAAACGTGAACGTTAAAGACACATGAACACTCCCCTAGTAGCTAAAAACTGTTGGTGTCTGATTAGGTAGACAATGACATTTTTTCCTTTTCAGGCAGCTTCTGTAAAAAAATCTCTGGACGGTGGGGAAAAGATTGTGTTTAGTTTCCGGCTGCACCCCTGTAGTATAGAATTGGTCATTGTTTTAGCCAGGACGTGGTGAGTTTTACTAAGCATAGACCGTGTAGCAAGGACGCAGTGAACTCTTTTCTTTCCTCTTTACAGGGAGTCGACGTTGATGCAGAAAACTGTGCAGTGTGTATTGAGAATTTTAAAGTGAAGGATGTTATCAGAATTCTGCCATGCAAGTACGTCCTTGTTACTTCCTGAGACGCTGCAAACTACCCACTATGTTTCAGGTTTCCGACAAAAGTGTTAACGTGTTTTTTTATGATGTAAGGATCTTGCTATCATGTGATGATCTTGTGATCGTCTCATCTTTTAGGAAGGAAGCTGGAGCCTTCGAGGCTCCTGGATTTGGATTATATTGCCTTCAAATTGCTTAGGACGCTTCAGGTCCTAAGAAGACCCATTATGTATCTTTGATTGGCTTCTAGTCTAAAGCAGGGCTTCATTAGGAACCTGGGAATCCCATCCCACATTTAGCCATGCAAGATATGCTGTGTCGGAGTAAGGAGACTGAAGCATGACTGGTGAAGGACCCCAAGGGGGGCGGCCAGGAATAGTTAGCAGAGAGTCGATCACGGAGGGCAGTGGTCTGCTGTTATTTGCACGCTGGGGTGTAGGGCTTTAGGTAGGTTCTGCCAAATAAATATTTCTTGCTTTAGGTATACTAGGGGCTTTGCTTTAGCAATGGGAAGTCAAGCTTTCCTTTTTTTTTTTTTTTTTTAATTAAATAATGGGATACTTTATTGATAACCATTTAGAGGAATGGCTGTTACCAGAAAGATGTACAAAATGACAATATACTTTAGAGTCTGATCAGTTTTAGTTATACTTCTCACCTATTGGAGAAATAGGTCAGAAGTTAATATGTAATTATGGTTTGCTTTGTGTTTACAAAGTACTTCAGTATTTATATATAAGTACTCTATAGTAGATTAAGTTCTCAATGATTCTGTAGAGAAAACAAATAAATATCAGAATAACAAAAGTTTCCAGAATAAAGATTGCTAACTGCTAACTTCAGTTTGCAGGGTTTTATATGAGATTGGTGTGGTGGGCACTTAATGTATTGGGTCAGTATGTCCTGTAGAAAGTTATTAAAATCAGAAAGGATTTTTACCATAGGATGCTTTAGGGCCGGTCTTTCTGACTTAAAAATAATGCTTGGGATACAGCACAAGTGAGCGGCCTGAGGCTCACTTCCTTTGTGACACCAGATCTGTCCTGATAGCTGAGCTGGGTTTCATACTTGACCCTCACAAGCAGACATGTTGCATGTGCACATTTCCTGGCCTCCTGATCTGGGGTTTTTACTTGTTTCTCCCCATTTTCTCCCATGCTTTATTTAACAGATTTCGCAATAAAGCCAACATGTTTCCTTTGTGTTTCTGTAAAAATCATTCCATTGGGTCAGTCAGCTTCAGTTTCAATTTGAGGATGGAAAGGACAGAAGACAAGCTGGGCTAGACTGTATTCTGTAATTAAGTTCTTTTATCTTTATCTGCGCTGTCAGACTTCTGTATGAAGAAGAGGTCTTCAAACAACAGCATTAATAGTGATAACAGTTGCTCAGTATTTTCTGTGCCCAGCACGGTTGTAAGCACACTGCATGTCAGCTGCTGAGAACAGCCTGGGGTGTAGATACAGAGAGGTTGAACAGCTGGTTCAGACTGCCAGCATCACGTCACACAGTGGTCACTGGAGCCATGGGTACTGTACCCATTCTCCTGACTCTGTATCTTCACCATGTATAGAAGGCAGATTCACCAGGTAGGAGGCAAAGGGAGCCAACTAAGACAAATCAGTAAAAGAAAATAAGTAGGCAGTTTTTCTTTTTTTCTCTTTTTGATTCTGAAAGTGATCATTTTAGAAAAACATGGAGTATACAAAAACACGGTTAAGACAGAAATTAAGTGCTTTCTTTTAAGCCTACAATCTAAGACGATCTGTTTATATTTTGCTGTATTTCCGTTTGATTCATTTCATGAACTTCTATAAGATACTCTGAGTTCAGGATAAGCTTTTTGCTGTTGGTTTACTTATGCCACATTTATTCCCAAAAGGCTTTTAAGTAAGTTACAGGGGCACATAAAAATATAGCCTAGCATGAAGCAAAAATAAACCGTGCTGTTTTTGTGGAGTGAAGGGAAAATTTCCCTGTAAGTTCCAGATTCTGTTTAACATGGGAAATAGAATAGATAATGACATAGAATAAGTGAATAGACGAGAATGTTGATTTGAAGTTGTTTAACTTGTTCTGAGAAGGTGAGTTAGTAGAATGTGTTGTTTCCTTAATAAGATATAAACATTTATTTTAAAACATTAACACATACTTAATTTTTTTAGGCATATTTTTCATAGAATATGCATTGACCCATGGCTTTTGGATCACCGCACGTGTCCAATGTGTAAACTTGATGTCATCAAAGCCCTGGGATATTGGGTTTGTTACATTTTTGTTTATATTCAATCTCTGCCCCGGTTCTTCCTGAGTGATGCGATTTCATTACTGACCAGAGGCAAGAGGAACGGATTAAGTGCTCCTTCTAACATGTTTGTGGTTCTCTGAAGAAATTTTCCTCGTGATTAAAAATGCATTTTTAAGACATCCCAAAAAATTAATGAACTGCTACCTTTGCGGTTATAGACTAATACGGCCAGATGCTTCCCCCCAGAGAGTTTGTAATTGCTTAGAGCAGTGAGCTTTGGTATGCTGCCCTGCAGAATATATATATATGCTCATCAGTGTCATATAAACAAGAATTATAAAGTTTGAAATGAAAGGAGCCTCCTACATTTTCTGGCTCAAGGCACACATGTTACATATGAGGAAACTGAAGCCAACACTCCTTGACACAAGGCCTCAGATTCCTGGCTTTCGAAACCAAATCCTGCTGGGGAAATTGGTCCCGTGTGGAATTTGCTCTGTCAGTTTGTGGTACTCAGGTGGTCATAGGACCTTCCTCAGAAAACAGAGACATGAGGGCAGAGTGAAAGGGGGTGCTTCATCGTAGCCAGCCATGTGCTGAGGGCCTTATGTACATTATTACATGCAGTCCTCAAGGCTGCTCTAAGAGGTAAGTACTATTTCTCTAATTAGGAACTTGAGCTTAGAGAAGCCAAGTAGCTTGCTTAGGTCACACAGCTAGTTACTGGGGAATCAGCTTTCAGACACCAGCTTGCTTAATTCTTGGGTATAATATAGCTTTTAACCAGTAGTCCCACCCAAAAGGGGAGACATAGGGGGAAAAAAAACAGATTTCTCTAGATTGCTGTATTTTTAATTATTTTTGGAGTCTTCGTATAATGTATGTCTTAAAATATTCTTGATTGTTAAACAGTAAATAATTTTGAAATACTGATCTCTGGAAGAAGTCATTTAAGTATCAAATAAACTTCTTGTATTGCTAAACATTTTTGTTTTAGAAAACTTTATAGTGTTTATGGTAGAGCTAGAGACCACAAGGAGGTTTTTCATGCACCTTACAGCCATAATAGTCCTTGAGGTACCCTGTCATCTTCTAGCTTAGTGCGCCTTAGAAAGATAGTTGAGAGCCTGCTGCCTTAATTACTACTGTAATTTTATGTGAATTATATTTTTCAGTGTGAGTCCCAGAATGCCCTCACCATAGGTACACAGAAAGAGCGGGCGGGGGGGGGGGGCGGGGGGGGGGGATTGGTCAGCATTCAAGACCTGTCTTATTGAAAGAAAACTTCACCCACTTTAATGTCTAGAAATTTTGTCTTTCCTCGAGAATTTCTATAGTTTATAGTTTTTAATAATGATGGCTCTACTTACCAGGGCATAACATGCTTTCTTAGTGAACTTGAAACTTAGTGAACTGAGCCTGTAGCTCAGACAAGAGAGTGCACTTTCCTAGGATTTTAACCAATACAATATAGGGAGCTTGACAGATGTTTTTCTTGGCAAAGGTTTCCTTTTTCCTCTTTTCCTTCCTGTCTGGCCCCATACTGTCAGTGCAGAGCCCGACACGGGGCTCATCCTCGCAAACTATGAGATCATGACCCGAGCCAAAATCGAGTCAGATGCTCAACCGGGTGAGCCACTCAGGTGCCCCCTAAAAGTTTTTATAAAGATATTTCGCTAAACTTAGCACTGAGACTTTAATCGTTGTGAGTTTTGTTTTGGGAAATATATCTACGTATGTATATTTGTTAAAATGTTAATTTCAGAAAGCTTGAGTATGTCCTCAGAAAGTAATTTTTTTTTTGAAGAACAGAAACCTCGGGCGCCTGGGTGGCGCAGTCGGTTAAGCGTCCGACTTCAACCAGGTCACGATCTCACGGTCCGTGAGTTCGAGCCCCGCGTCGGGCTCTGGGCTGATGGCTCAGAGCCTGGAGCCTGTTTCCGATTCTGTGTCTCCCTCTCTCTCTGCCCCTCGCCCGTTCATGCTCTGTCTCTCTCTGTCCCAAAAATAAATAAACGTTGAAAAAAAAAATTTTTTTTAAAAAGAAGAACAGAAACCTATAGTAAGAGATTAACTTGTCTTGCCCTTAGTTTTTACTTTTTGGATGAATGTGCCGTTTTCTTTAAACCCTGTGGCCCGTCCTGCATTGAGTTTCGTAGGTATGACACTCTCATATGGTAATGACTGGTAAGAGAGCTGCTGTCAGTCCTTCACATGGACTTGGGAGGTGGTCCTTTCATTTGCAGTTGTAACCTCCTGGATGGGCCATTTGTCACTCTTGTTTTCATTCATTCAGCAAGCATGTATCAAAGGAGCACTCTTTCAGGTGCTAGATCGAACTTGGGGAGACAAAGACAAGTGAGACGCAGCCCTTCTGCCTGTGGGCTCTTGGGGATTTCACTTTCTGGACTTTGGGGGCCAGGGGACACACCCGTGCACAGTGCAGCAGAGGATGTATGTTTGAAGTGCTGAGGAGCATGGAGGAAGGAGGAATTTACTCCACCAGGTGGAGTGGGGAGATAAGAAGTTGGTATTTTAAGAGGGGAGTCTGAGCCTGGTGTTAAAGAGTTTGTCTGACCGATCACTATATTGCAGATAGGGGTATGACCGTGTGGGCTTTGAAACTGGCAGGTAGTCCAGTTTGTCAGGCACTTCAGTAACTATCTGGGAAAACAGATAAGGGTGGGCTGGGTGGGAGTTTGGACTTTCTAGCAACTCAGTAGGATTCGTGGTTTGCTGTGTCGGGAGTCTCAGTTACCAGTGAGGAGGAGTCTGTGTGCTGTGTTGTTCAGGAGGGCGGTTCTAGAACCCTGTGGAGTGGCAGTGGGAGCAGCGTGCCAGCCGTGCCCTTGACCCCGAGAGCCCAGTGAGGGAGGTGCAACAAACACCATGTTCTCATGTAAAGCCCAGGCTCACAGTAAACCCAAAAGCCACCGCTCATTTACCAGGTGACCTAGTGGTTTCCTCTCTCACAACATGGCCTGACTCTGGTATTAATCAGAAAGGTATCTGGATTAGCCTCCATGTAAGACCGGGCTGTCACTTTCATGGTCCTGTTCTTTAAAGCAGCGCACGGGAGAGTTGAAGGTAGACTGAGGGCCAATAGACACTGTCCTCAGGGAGCCACAACTGATTGTTTTTAAGTGAACTAAATGCAGTCTGAAGCCCTCTGTTTTCAGATACTGTGTTCTTCCCCCAAACCCTGGTGCCTGCGGTAAGATAGTACGACAGTTAGAGGCAGTAATCCGAGCTCATGGCCACAGCCAGGCTGATTCACACCCTCTGTCCAGGAAGCAGGGAAAATGCATCTATGACAAAGCTTCACTTACTGTCAATAAAGAATTTAAAGGTGGCATTGCTTACGTCAAGGTGGGAAATGGTTTTTAAAATAAGTACCGTTTAGGTCTTAGCTGCTTATTGAGAAGTAATTAATTTTCTGATGTTGCTAAATAAAGAAGACATTAATGTTCTTGCCTGATTCTGTGTATAAAAATATTCCATATGGATTATGCCTAATCATTAGGAGATGATAGATAAGCTTTGAATGTGTTACCCAGACAAGGTATTTTCTTTTCTTCTCTCAAGGGAGAGGTGGAGGATGTGCAGGAGATGCCCGCTCCAGAATCTACCCCTGGGAGTGTTTTGGCTGCAAATTTGAGTATTACTGTACAAGAGGAGGACAGAAGCGAGGGGAACAATTTGCCGTCCTCTTCCACTAGTGAGTCTGCACTGCAGTGTGACGCCGGCTTTAAAGAAGATGCAGGTGAAGACACAGCCTTACTAGGTAAGTGCCTTCCAGGTTATAAAACAATGTTGCTAGCAGTTAGGGAACAAAATGAAAAAATACATAAAATGCAGAAAAACATAAAGGAAAAATAGAAACTGTGATCCCACACCTGGAAATACCATTTTAACATTTTGATAAATAGCTTTCCAGATGTTTTTCTGTGTTTAATCACATATCATTTATGTGCTGTTAGGTAGCCTGTTTTTCTCTTAATGTGTGCAGCTCTCTTCTGTATCAATAGGTGCATGATTCTGTGTGGCTGTGTAGTATTACAGTTTAGATTCACTGTAATTTCTTTAAACCGCACCCTTTTGGCGACTTTATTTTTAACACTTAGAAATCACTGTGTAGGGGCACCTGGTGGCTCAGTTAAGCATCTGACTCTTTTTTTGTTTTGTTTTAATGTTTATTTTTGAGAGAGAGAGATCCAGCCCCACATCAGTCTCTGCACTGACAGTGCAGAATCTCTGTTGGGAATCTCTCTCTCCCTCCCTCCCTCCCTCCCCCAAGAGCTTGAGTGTTCTCAATCTCTCTTCCTCAAAATAAATAAATAAACATTGTTTAAAAAGTAAAAAAAAAAAGAATTTATTATGCATATACCCTCACCACTTAGATGTCTGATTATTTCTTGTCATTCTGAGAGAGGAGACAGAGTGAATTGCATTTTTTTTTAATTACTAATGAGGTGACCTTCTTTTCATATTTGTTGGTCATTTTTATTCTTTCAGGAGTTGCCTGTTTCATCCTTATTTTTCTCTGGAGAAACTAATTTTTTCATGTTGCTTCTAAGAGTTCTTTGATCTTTGTCATATGTATGACATATATTTCTCCCCCAGTTTGTCTATCCTTTGACTGGTTGGTATATTTTACTAGTAGAAATGTTTAATTTTTCTCTAGTCCCAACATATGTTCATGATTCTGCCTTTGATAGCATACTAACTTGGGAAGGTCTTTCTTATCTCAGGATTATAAATATATTAACCCATATTTTGCTAATATTTGTGGTTTTGTATTTTACATTTACATTTTTAATCCACATAGCTTAATGGAAGGTTTAACCTATTTTTCCCCAAAATGTTTAACCAGTTGTCCCACTATTTAGTGAATTATAATCATTTTAGTGAATAATAATTATTATGTTTTGATATTGGCAAGGCAAATTCTTTCACCTTTATTCATTTAAAAACATTTCTGGACTATTCTGCATTTTTCTAAAAAATTAAAACTACTCTGCCGAGTGAAAATTTTTATTATAATCGAACTTATTTTAACTGGGAAGAATTGATGCTTCCAATTTTGAATTTTTCCATACGGGAAGAGGAAACATATCTTCCCAAATCAGTAAAACTCAAACTGAATCAGTTTTATGTTTGGCTATGAAGCAAAAATAAACAAATACTAGAACTTAGGTTTTAAACCAGTAGCCAAGGAAGAAGAGCACACTGTGGAAGAGAAGGAAAAACCCATTTCCGAGCGTTGGAATGCAGAAAGGACACTCTCCCAGGCGGCTCCCTGGTTGCCTGCTGGGATGGAACCACCTTTAGAATCCATCCCGTCCGGTTGAGCCCAAGTGCATGCCAGTGTCATTTTTGCCATTGCCTTCAGTCTCCAGAAAAAAAACTAACTTTCCTTTCTCTAGTACTTGACCACCCTTGAGATAGTTAAAGGCCGATAAAGACTCACCCTAAGTGTCCCCCACGTTTTCCTGCACTCTTGTTATCTGCCGTGCATTGGTCTGTCAGCATCTCCTCTCCCCTCTTAGAAGTAGGATATTATTATCATTTGAAATAGTGCATAGTGTAGACTACAAGTGCAAGTATACAACAAAAACAAGAAAAGATCAAATCCAAATGCAAGTTAATTAGGAAAATGCAAATTGAAATAGCAGTGAGATATCACTTTCCAGTGTTCAAACGAGAAAAAAATTCAAAAGACAGCTAACATTTATTGCTGGCTGAGATGCAAGAAATGGGCATTTCCATACATTGTGCTATAAATGTAAATTGTTATGGCCTTTTAAAAAAAATTTTTTTTTAAACATTTATTCATTTTTGAGAGACAGAGCATGAGCGGGGAAGGGGCAGAGAGAGGGAGACACAGAATCTGAAGCAGGCTCCAGGCTCTGAGCTGTCAGCACAGAGCCCAACGTGGGGCTTGAACTCAGGAACTGCGAGATTATGACCTGACCCGAAGTCGGACACTCAACCGACTGAGCCACCCAGGCGCCCCCTGGCCTTTTTGAGTAGCCATGTAACAACATCTATTAAATAAAAATACATAGTCTTTGAAGCTGATATTTCATCCTTGGAAATGTATTCTATACAAATAAAATCACCCCTACACACACACACACACACACACACCCACAAATAGTGCATAAAAATAAAAGTGGAAAAAGAAGCTAGGTTATAAAACAACAGGATGTTAGATACATTCTGAAGAAGCTGGGCCCACTCCCCACACCTGCCTTTTGTGTGTGTGTTTGCTTTCTTGTTTTTTGTTTTTTGTTTTTTGTTTTTGTCCTTTTTTATTTTTAATTTCCAAGTATTTCTTCACGAGTAAATTGACAGGTAAATTTAAATGTTCATATTCTTTCCACCTTGTCATTGTACCAATATAATTTGAGAAATATTAAATTGGAGAAATCTATTCTTTTTTTAAAAAAAAAGTTTAGAGAGAGAGAGGACATGCATGCACACAGGGAAGGGGCAGAGAAAAAGGGAGAGAGAGAGAAAGAGAGAATCCGAAGCAGAGCCCGACACAGGACTCCAACTCCTGAACCATGAGATCATGACCTGGGCCAAGAGTTGGACACTTAAGCGACTGAGCCACCCAGGTACTCCCAAGAAATCAGTTCTTTTAAGCAGACACTAGTACTTCCAGAATAAAATGTGGCTTCACTTAAAGTTGAGAAAACATTTACTAGGCTCTTCGGAGCAACTAGAAATAAAATGTGGAACTTACTAATGATAGACTACTCGCTAGAGACTGTGTTTCCCTGGTGAGTACTCCTTCTGTTGTCCAGTTGACCTTCTTGGCTCTGACTGTAGGTGAGTTGAAGTATTTGATTCTGTATTTAAGGAAGTACTCTATTCCTGTAAGAAACCTTCTGACTTTGAACCACCAGTTCCTTTTCCAAGATAGTTTAATGTCTCTGTGCCCATGTTTCATCATCTGTAAAATGAGCATAATAACATCCTAATGCTTACCTCACAGAGTCACATATATAACACAGGAAATGCTCTCTGTTGTTTTTGTGGGCAGTGACACCACCATCATCATCATCAGATGTCGTCATAGCTGTCTGGTTTACTTTTGAAAACATACACTAGTTCACCAACTAAAAGACTGCATCCTTTTTTTAATAGCACCATGTTGGTTAAAGTAACATTGGTTAAGCTAATGTGAGAAAACTTCTCACACTCTGTGTGAGGAAGATGTTTGTATATTTTTTTTGCTCTCTGGAATGAGTTGCCAATTTTACATGTAGGTTTTATGTACATTTTTTTTGTAATTTGTTGCTTGAATTATAGTCTCCAAATGAGTCACAGTGCTTCTGTAATTGAAGTTTAGAATATGCTAAGTGGCTGACATTGGCTTTTGTTGCTTCATTGTAGAAATGGGCAGGAGCGACCTTGAACATGGAAGGCCCGTCTCCTAGCACACATCCGGGTGACCGCGTCATGGACAGAGCATTGACTTCAATTAAAGGACTTTTTTTTTTTTTTTTTTTTTTGACTTCAGCACATAGTTTGTATATTTGAAAATAATGTACATTCTTTTACCTATCAGGTTCTGATTTGATACACAAAGGGCTAAGATATTTTATTCTTAAAGAGATGTTTTGATTAGTCTTAATATATTTATCTACTAAAATATATCATTTATGATAAACAGTATGTTGTTTTGGACTCTTACAGAGGAGACCACTAGGAAGGCCCTCTAAAGGGGGTGGCAGGGGGAGGTTTTTCTGAATACTACTAGACTAGCTACCACGGTACTGTACAAATGGGATTTTGTTTCTCAAGGATGGCTTTAGACTCAGCAACTGAATTTAGACTAGTGGAAGTGGAATTGTATAATTCACTTCAGTTATTGATCACGAGTTTTCCTTGGAGGAAAGGCTTTTCTAGAGCATTAAACTTATAAATGAGATCTGAGAAATCTACAGCTTTCTCAAACCTCCGTGTTACTATATAGACTTTGAAACCTACGAACACCTTTTCATTGTTCTCTCTTTGGAATTATAGGAAAAGCGTTAGGTGACTTTAGGATTTGCATTTTCCCTTTTTAATCCCTAATTGCTTGTGATACCTTAAAGGAGAGGGAAATTTGTCCATTTTTTCTACAAATGAAAAGCTAAGATCCTTCATCACACATGAGCAGTAAGTTCTTCATTGCCTTAAGGAAATCAAGCAGGCAGAGGTTTTTGTAAATGATGACTGTATTAGTTCCAACTACAATTTAATCTTTACAATTAAAAGGATGGAGAACTTTGTTTCTGTTACAAAGTAAGCAGTTTACTTGATTTAAAGATCATGATCTCCTGTAATCATCTATCCTTTTTATTCTTGGCTGTTCTCACTTGTAGGTTGAAAGCGGCAGGTGAATGTAAAGCTTTTGGAGACTGCACTCTTAAATTTTATAAAATTATTAAGTAAAAACGCACACTTTCTGCTCTCCTCTCCCTTCTTGGAGGTGGAAGTTGAGGAGGGTGAGGGAGAGTTATTTTTTTAAAACTTGAAACTGTTGTCCTTTGTTGCTTCTAAGCTAGTTGTGTGTATCTTTATTTTATGAGTAAAAATAAAGGTCTGTTTGGAGTTTTAAAAAATGTAAGGAATTCATTCTTAACAGCTGCATCTAAGTTTTGTATGGCTCTGTTTTCTTTTTTTTCCTTCAAACTATTTGTTGCCCTTGGATTTTAGCCACTCATAGTGAAACATTTGGTGAGTAAACAGTTTTGCTGGTGTAAATTCTGTGGCCAGATTCAACTTGAGGAGCTACTGAAGTAGAAAAGTTGACTGACTTTGAGCTCTCATTGACAGCCTCAAAGTAGGTTTCCTTAATAGCCATTATCTTTGTGGTTCATTGCAAATAGGAAAGTATGTCCTTGATTCTGTACCAAGTAGGTTTTTTGCTGTTTGTATTTTAAGATACATACTTGGGAGACATGCTTTAATTAATAATTCTTTCCAGTATCCAATGAAGCAGACTTTTAAAAAGAATATCATGACCGATCAAGCTAAATTGTTTGATAATTACAGAAGTATGATTTCTTCATTAGCAGCTATCAGATACAGCTTTCCATAATTCAAACGTTTGAACACTAAACTGCAAATTTAAGAGATGGGAAGAACTGTAGTAGTCTGGTCTCATCTGCAGAAACATGTCTTTAAAAATAATTTTTTTGTTTATTTTTGAGAGAGGCAGAGCATGAATGGGGGAGGGGCAGAGAGAGGGAGACACAGAATCCGAAGCAGGTTCAAGGCTCTGAGCTATCAGCAGCTCAAACCACAGAGCAGTGAGATTCTGACCTGAGCCAAAGTCGCTTAACCGACTGAGCCACTCAGGCACCCCTGGAAACATGTCTTTAATAGCAGAGAAAGGAATTACCAAGAAAAAATAGAGAACTGCAACACTTTGAAAGCTTCCTTTGATAGGCTTTTTTTTTAGATATAAATATGATAGAAAAGGGTCAAATATTAGCAGAATGTTTGCTGAGACATGAAATTGATAAAATGCTACTCGGAATATGGGAATGTAATGAAGAAAGGGTAAACCAGAGAGATTTGGTTTAAGGTTAGTCATATTTATGGCAGTAATCATGTTCCCACTAACAATTGTCATAAAAGCCATTTGTTCACAATTACTGTAGAAACAGTTTTTTTTGTTTTTTTTTTTAACTTTGGAAGTCCCAGGCAGCATGTGAAAGAAGCAGTTTGACCATGAACGTGAAGCACTGTTGTCAGCCGCCTGCCCAGGTGCTACTTCTGGGTTTCCCGCTAGAACACCACAAAGGGCAGGAGGAGATGTGCAAAAACAGGGCACCTTGGACAGGTAAACTTCCTCACATGCTGAAGTCTGGGGGATCTTGAATATAAAAAGCCTCTCCTGAGAGCTTGTCTCCTGCAGTCACTGAGGAGTGATGACAATAAAAGGCCGAATTGCAGTGTGCCCATCAGCAGTTTGCTCTCTGTGGGGCACACGATGACAAAATCTCCAGAAGCGAATCACTGGTCTGACCTCAGTAACCTCAGGACTGAAGCTTTGTACTTGGGCAGGCTTTCTCAGAGGGGTCTGCTCTTCCCAAAGAGAGCTGGTATTTTTAGAAGAAAAAATAATCAGTGAATTGAAGGCATTGGATCTTAAATTGAGTAGTAAATACCTGTCTACATACTTTGCAGTCTACTTGCTGCATCAGGGACTGCTAGAATCAGAAACAGAAATAGGCCTTCAAGAACAGGTGTGTTCCCACTGGGATGAAATACCCAGTGTAACCAAATTCCCCAAGAGGATAGCTTAATTGGCAAGTTTCTTCTTTTGAGCACATTAAAGTTTATTTGCTCAGTGAAGGCTGAGCTTAAATCAGTATGTGTATGTTATTAACGAGAACCTGAGGTAATTACATGTTTGGTCAAAAGCAGTCTCTTTGAGCTCAGCGTAACCCAATTTGTGATTTACAAAGCACAGGATGCTGGCCTGAACCAAAGTGAGTCTTATATATAACATACGCTGTGCTTCTGTGATGCAACAACCAATTAGAAAAGCCACCTACGCCTTTCCCAGTTAATTTCGCTTTTGAAGTTTTAAAAACATTTCATTTTAAAAGATACTAACGTAATTCTTATAAAAGTGAAATTTCTACAGTGTAATCAGCCATTTAGCTAGATTTGCCTTTATTCTAACAGCAAAGTAGAAGTTGTAAATTGAAAAAGGTATATGGATCACATTAATTCAGTCCATTTTTTTGAAGAGGTGTAAGCTTGTATATTATGGGCTAATGAGAAACCTGAGAACACCAGCACTTTCGTGGGGCTTGGCTGCATAGGTATTGGATCCCAGGACTGTGTTTTTGGAAGCATTTTAGGGATGGATTTCCTGATCAGAACAGTAGTGATTGCATAAAAACGACAGACCAGATATAAAGTGAAACCAACAAAATGGTCTTAGTACCTAGGTAGAGTGTGCAAGAATTTTAAAGAATACGTAAAAATATGCGTTAGTTTTCCAGATATCCTTAAAATGCTAAAGTGCTGCCCTTCAAAATATTATTTAAAATAAGCACATGAGCCATCGCTTTCCATGAGAATCATTACAAGATAAAGTAGTGGTACACACCACTTAAAATTGTGGGAAAGTGTGTACTCTGTAAGAAAGGTGAGTGATAACTGTTTCTTTAAAGTTGTTTAAATGTATAAACACTGCTAAAAGAATTAAAGTAGTTGTATCTTGGGACCTGATTAATTTTGAAGCATTTTTTCTTTCTACCCTATGGTGTAACTTAGTGCTGTCTTTTTACAGGTGATTTGAAGATACTACAACTAGAAACCGGAACTAGAATTCAAGATATGTTATTTTTAACATGGCAGTCAATTGAACTACACTTAAAAGTTGATTACAGTTACTGAATCCCAGGACTATAGTTGATTTCAGGTAAACTTTCTTCTACTTTTAAACATGTTTAATGAAGAACCTCTTGCTGGTGTTTAAATTTTTTTAATATTTATTCATTTTTGAGAGAGAGTGAACAGGGGAGAAGCAGAGAGAGAAGGAGAATCAGAAGCAGGCTCCAGGCTCTGAGCTGTCAGCACAGAGCCTGGCTGGTGTTAAATGTGAACCTGACTCACTTTTGGGGGAGGGGAGGGGGGTAAAATGTTCCCTAAATATAACTACTGTTTTTTGTTAACTATTTAGATTTGGAAATCTTTCCTCTTTCAAGTAAACACCAATAGTGTGATCTTGGAGTTTTTAGCAATAGTCTATTTGCAGAGTCCAGAATTTGTAAATTCACCAACTGAATTTATCTGTAACCCTCACATCAGGATGGGCAGTGCTTTTTGCAAGTCCTTTGTGGACACGTACAGTGCAGTGAAAATTTTGAGGCATGTGACACACTTGTTCCGATTGAGGTTTAGTAAGAGGACACTCTGCCTTCTTGTTTCAGCTCTCAAAGTGTCAACAGTGTATCCTTCTCCACTATGTATTTAGTGTCTTTTCCAAAATTTTGTACCTTGGTGATTTTACAGTTTAAAATGGCCCCCAAGCATAGTGTTGTCTCCTGTTCTCAGCACATGAAAGCTGATGTGCCTTATAGAGAAAGTACATGTTAGGTAAGCTTTGTTCAGGCATGAGTTAATAGTGCTGTTGGCCAGTATCGTTCAACGTTATCAGAGAATCAGTAGGTCCTGGAGCCCTTCCAACAGTCATCCAAACTTTGCCATTCCCAGAAGTATCTCAATAATACTTTTGGAAGTATTTGGAAGTGCTTTTGGAAGTAATTCCCAAACCTAATAAGGTAAAACAATGATGCCCACTTATAGGTATGGAAATCAAGGCTGTTACTATCATTTTGGATGTCTTAAAGGCATTCCTCTAGTACACTGGCTTGGGTTCTTAATTACTTTAAGCAAATACATTTATAAATACCTTACTTTCATAAGATTACGTAAGACATAAAATTTCTTATAAATCTAGGAGTGCTGTTTTTTTGCTGCTATTATAAGGTTGAAACTCCTCTTTAAACCAGTAGGCTCGGTTTCCTTTAACTTTCGCTGAGGGTTAAATTGGAAGGTGAATTCCTGTTGAATAGATTACTTCCCTATAAAGAGCAGGCTTTGGAAGTACCTCAGTATATGAGGAATTTTTCATGCTTTCTTCAAGTAAAAAAAACACATAATACAGTTCATAAAAAACTTTAATGTAAGGCACTGTTGTCCAGAGTTAAATGAGGGATAACAGCCCACATGACGCCAGCCACCTTGTCCTCCTACGTCTCAAACAGGTCATCTGCCCTAGCACAGGCAGCAGGGTACAGACTGTACATGACAGTTCCTCAGTGGTGATGTTATCTCCCAAAACATGGACTAATATTTTTCCTTTAAACAAGAAAATAACTATCTTAGACTAAGAACTGAAGAACTAATGAACAGCTCAAGAGGAAAAAAACAGAACACTACACCAGCTATTATAGTCTCAAAAAAGGTTTCTAAGAGTTTCCATGTTTCTAAGAGGTCCAAGGAATGCATGTATTCTGTTGTCTATTAAGTCCCCATGACAAGAAAGGATAAAGCTAGAAGCATTTCCTTGGTTCAAACTGTGCTTCAGGAGGCGGTAAGGGCTGTACGCATAAATGGGTTCAAGGACCAAACTTCTGTTTGCCCCTTGATTCAAAAACACTTAACTGATTTCACCTCAAGGGCAGTATGACAAATTCTTAAGAATGTCTTCATTTACTCCCATTAAATACTAAAATATCAGAACCTTAAGAAAACTGGGATTCTTGATTTATCAGTAGCCTGTAAGTTGTGTTTTAAACAAAAACAGGCACCTTGGTTCTACAGTGCTAAAGACCGCATCTACTTTTTTGCAGGAACTTTTTTTGGATAACTGCTAATCCTAATCATCAGCAAAGACACCAAAATAGACACATTTTTCTAAGTTCTTACCAAAAATCCATTTCAAGGAAAAAGTCATCCAGGAAGGGAAAATTTTGCTTTAAGTAGATAAAGTAGTGTTTATATGCATTAGGCCAAGCAATCCACTCAGGGTTCTAACAGTTTAAAAATTAAGTCACAATATAGCTGAATAATGAATATGGTGGTTCTGATGAGGTATTATTTTGACATTTTGGTCTCGGAAGGTGTTTCTCCAGTGTCCAAGGTCTTCAACAATCGGAAAAGGCCAGCGGCTTCTCGTATCCTGCTGAATTCAATACAGAATGCCTGCACTTCTATAAACAAGTCCTGCACGTTAATTATTTTGTTACGGATCAAGGACTGGAGAAAGACACACACAAGACGCACCAAACGATTCTGAAAAAGAGAAAGCAAATTTATTGTACCCGTTTTCTTGGCAGGTATTTATAAAATTTACAAAAATCTCTGCTACTTACCTGCATATATTTATCCTTAATTTGTTCACAAGTAGAGATGCAATTTGATATGTAAAGGTGAATAAATTCAGGAGGTAGATCAACAGCTGTAGTGAGTCTGTTTCAGAAAGTTAAAAAGGGCTGTTACAAAACACTGTTACCCATAAAATATAAAATTCCTCTTTGGTCATTTAGTCAAAATTTCTGATAGATGATCAGTTACCTACTTTTAAACATACTTATGCAAATAAGCCTGAGTCACCCACTTTGTTGGTCAATGGCACTTCATTTTTTAAGTCTATACTTAGCATTACATTACACATGAAAATTACTCATAATTTTGAACACCACATTTCTGTGTTCTTGGTTGAATCCTAATTTGTAGTTAATGGTCTTCAAGCTCTAGTAAGTAACGTTAACTAAACCTCAATTACATGTAAGTGCTATGCAAGGTGGTAGGTCCAAGAAGGTATAATTTTTAATAATTAAGGGCTAAAATGAGGGGTTTGCAAAAAGCAGTGTAAATGAAAAAACAGGAAAAGCCTTAAAAGGTCAAGTGGCCTAAAACTGAAACCTTGAAGTATTTCTTATAACCTAGCAAGTGATGTGAGAAAAAGCTGGGATCTGGGATTAGTGTGGCACATTCAGGAACATGGTGGTAGAGATCCGGATGGAATGTGACAGAAGGCATTGGTGGCACATTAGTGTCTCCACGAGGAAAGCTGGTATTTTCTGAAAGATTCTGTGGAATATTTTAAGGAAAACAAAAAGATGGGAATTCCACGTTCAAATAAAGGTATGCTATGCTAGCTATACAGTATGAATTTCCAAAAGGAATTCTAAACTTCTTTGACTACAGAACCTTTCCCCATAAAGCACCAAGGAACCAGTGCTCTGAGAAAAGTGCTGTGGTCACTTGAGGTTGGGGGGGAGAGGGGGAGGAGGGCGGGGGGGGGCACAAGGAACAGACCTCATCCTTGAAATTATTCTCTAGAAAGAATACTACTGATAAAAAGATGTGGTTATTCTTGGACTAAATACCAAATAGCTGGTGAAAACAGTGCTACAAGAACATAGTGAAGGGGAAAAAGCTGGCACTGAGAGGGCAGGCAGTCCAAGGATGGGAGCAGAAGCAGCCCCAGAAGGAAGTGAGTCTGCACTGGAGGGAAAAGCCTGAACAGGAGAATGCAGACACACAGTAGTGTATTTTCAACAAACAGCTGACCAGTTTTGCCAATGACAGAAAATAAAGTTGAAAGCCTCATGCCTGCCTCCTCTCTCTCCCACCCCAGAAAGAACGCTCCTGTACACATACTTGTGATTACTTAGTTTTTACCGGCTGATAAGCTTAAAAGGGCAGCCTTCAGTACAATTTCAAGAAGGTTAAAAAAAAAAAAACAACTAAAAATTTGTTGCTAGTTTTTGCCTTCTGGCCATTTAATCAGGATCTAGATTCACACCGCCCCTGCCACCCACCCACACCCAATCAAGTATAAAAACTTACCGATTTACAACTTCCATTGAATGCAAAGACATGTCCATGTTGACCAGAACCGAAAAATACTCTGTGATCTGGCTTGACTGCATTAACTTCAGCAGCATTTCTATAGCAACTAGAGGGTTGTTTTCCACTAAGTCTGGAAGTTTGGCTGGAGTGAGGCCAATATGATAAACGAGTTTGGGGTCTTTTTCCAATTCACCCAGGAGCTAAATACAACCAAATTTTTAAAGAGAGAGAGGTTCTTAAGTCAAATATTCTCTTTCCTGCCTACAAAACCAAACTATAAAATAATCTACATTGAACCAACTTGGTAAATTTCTTCCCTGAAACCCATCATAATCTTGTATTAATTTTTAAATTTACATTTAAGCTGTGAAGATATTAAAATGCAGACACCTTCAAGACTAAAAATGCTAGTGATCCCTTTCCAGGGCATTAAACCAGCCTCAGTATGGTCTGGTTGGATAGAATGCTGTGTGGACTGTAACAGTATCCTCCTTAACAGCTTTGTAGGCTTTTCCTATCCTCTGTTATAACCAAAAATTATCTTAGTTGTCAACCAGTTCTCCAGAAAAGCACAGACCACAAAGAACTGAGAATAGGGGAAAGAGTGCAGCCCAGGCAGAGAGCAGACACTCAAGGAGAGAAGCATGACAGGAGGAGATCGCTGCCCTGTTGTGGTGCCTCACGGCAGGACCGTACAGTTCAGGCCCTACTCACGTGATGCAATCTAAATAAACACCTTCAAAAGCAGTTCTGCCAAATAAGTGGTTTTTCACAAATTCTCTATGTTCATTCCCCTACCTGCCTGCATATACCACAGTGGACTGTGTTTTAGGATGGCCTAGCAAACAAAGTGAACTACGAACAGCTGTTATTTGACTCTGAAAGTAACATTTTCAGTGGTAAACTGGATTGGAAGTGTCAGTATGTCCTCACAAGTTCCACTGTTTAAGTTTGCAAAGCTGGGTAAAATTCACCAAACCGAAACCACCCACCAGGTATCCTTGCCTTTCCCTGCCCAGGGGAGTCTTACACAAAGAATAGCAGGGGCTATTCTAAATTTCAAATCCACCACTAACCAGCTGTGTGACAGTGGCTAGCTTACCCTCCCTAGGTCTCATTTTCTTCCTCCATAAGATGTTAATCTCACTTACCCTCAGTAGTTACTGTCCAGCAAATGTAACAACATATGCAAAATGCCAAAACTGTGAGATCCATCCTACCCCTCCTCTCCCATAGTCAAAATGGCCCCAAATAAGTGTTGATACATGTTGAGTCATCAGTCTTTTTCCACCAGAGTAAAATGACCAGAGTGGGAGGGGCAGAACAAAGCTCCAGAGATCCAAGACTTCTTGGATCCAAAACATTCTTATTGCTGGCTCCTATCGGCAGATCATTTTATTGGTCATTTATCATGTGAAGGATTAAAATAAAACACCTACAAATAAATACATACCTGTGTTTGTTGAGGAGAAGATAAGGGGCTTTTGAAGGCTTTGGCCATTATTCGCTTGATCTCCACACCAGTGCTATTCTTGACACACATTGATTTGTCCCATTGAATCGCATGGTCAGGCTCTGTTGGATTCAGCCAAGCCAGCTCATCCTCACAAATGTGGAGTGGAGGTGGTGGACGAATAAACTCTGGCCGGAAATGGCCTGTAACGAGAGTAGGAATGTTTGCTTCGATCAGGAAGCTACCATCTATGCACATCTGTATAAAGATAACATGATAAAACTTGCAGACTTCAAAATCCAAAGCAGAGATGATATAGAAAGGGTTTTATTCAGAATGCCAACAAAATGAAACACTGATAGAACATTATTATTCCAGAGCCCAAATCTACTTTTCAGGAGAGATGAAGGCATTACCATGATCTGATGATTTTTAATTCAAGCATGATCACCACTGAGAAGCAAAAGGATACAACTTCACATACTGGTGAGAGTTCTGATGGGAAAAATGAAATGCTACTTGATCTCACTCTTCCTATTCTTAGTGACCGGTATTTTTTTTTTAAGTAGGCTTCACACCCAGTGCAGAGCCCATCGTGGGGCTTGAACTCACAACCCTGAGATCGAGTCCTGAGCTGAGATCAACAGACACTTAACCGACTGAGCCACCCAGGTGCCCCATTAATTACTATTACTTTATTCAGTAGTAGTGAATAATTACTATTATTTTATTCAGCACTACTATTTGTGGTTTTTTCTTTGCATCTTCTAATGTTGAGGTGGCAAATTATGTGTAGATAAAATGGCAGGGAACAAAAAAGTACAGTTGGCTTGACATTCCCAAATGAATCCAGAGACTTTCATAAACCCCTGAATTCACAAATCCCATATTCATTTTCATAGAACAGTAAAACAACAATAGGAAAATGCAGTGACTCTACCTCAATTGTTGTGTGAAATAAGACTGAACCCTAAGTTATAAGCCCAAGAAAATAAATGCTGGCTGGGATTTTTGCTGAACAAATTTCATAACTCACTCTGGTTTCCACACAGGGCCTCAGATGGCTTATTCTGACCATGGGTCCTAGCCCCTGCCAAATTTGAGAATGGTTTGTTGAAAAGGTTTTCTGGCTAAGAATCACCAGTTTATCTTCTACTCTCTCTTCACTTACATCAAGCATTTTACATCTAGTAGGACTAGCATCTCAATCTCTTTTCAGACCACTTATAAAAAGAAAAAACTTTTAACACCTCAGGAGAAGCACTACTTATATGATAATGAAAACATTCCCAAGAAGTACGTACGTTTAGCCAGACTCCGTATCTGATTTGCTTTTCACATACTTTTCTGGTGGCTTACGCAACACACAGTAAGCAAATATTAAATGAAAACCAGTATGTGCCATGGGGCTGTCAGGCACACTTGTGCTCAGCTTAGACTTCAAATATTAAACCCATTTATGTCAAAGATCTAATAATGGCATTAAAGTCATGTAAGTTTTAAACTCATGGTGACACTATAATTTGGAGAACATTTTCTTATACCTAAGGATAAAGCATGCCTTCATCACTAAAACCACATAGAAGCCTGAATACAAAAGTTAATAAATTACAGAAGACTCATTTCAGTAAAATCAGAATTTGTATCTTCAGGAATGCTGATAAAAAAACTTGAAATGTAATTTTATTAAAGAACACAGACCATCACTACTATGTTCTACAAGACACTATAACTGGGAAGTGTCTCACTGAATTCAAGTTTAAGCAGCAACAAAGGTAACACCATGTTTTAGAAAACCAAAAGTCTCAGGATGCTGGTAAAATAAAACCAAGTACAAAAAAGTAATATACCTACTTTCAATAGGTGGCTTTGGTCCACTGACTAAAGCTTCTGTGATTTGAGAGGCAACTGAGCTGTCAAATCCAGAATTAGAAGAATCTGGGTCTGGGTCACTGAGAATACTAGGGAAGCTAGCCTTACTTTGGGTTGGCAATTCAGACTGGCGTTCTGAAAAAGGGTAAAATAAGAGACATTTTTAAATTGAGGGCAACACAAGGAAAGTGAAAAAACTAACTGGGAAAAGCTGTCTGCAACATATGAACAAAGGGCTAGATTCAGAATATAGACACATCCCCCCTCCCCCACCAATACAAATCAGCCAGGAGCTACAAAACCCACCAATAAGCCAGCAGCAGCTGCAACCACACTGTCAGCCAGTTGTGCTGGGGGGGGGGGGGGCAGCCACACCTGCCAGAGCATCCCCATCTGCTGCAGACCAGTCACAACAGAAGGGTACATACAGCCCATACAAGGGATATCCATAGTGCTGGACTGGTGATCAGGGGGTATTAAAATAATGGGCTCCACAGGACATTTTCTATGTAAGGCCACTACTTTCAAGTCCAAGAGATGTAAGTGACATACCTAATATATAGAAACACAGAGTCAGACAAAATGAGACAGAAGAATATGTTCTGAACCTCAGAAAAGAACTAAAGGAAACACAAGCAATCCACCTGATGAAGAGTTCAGGTAATGGTCATAGAGATGCTCACACTGGACTGGGGAGAAAAGTGAATACGCTCAGAACTGAGCTGAAGAATACAATAACTGAAATGAAAACTAGAGAATAAATAGCAGATGCAAAAGAAAGGATCAGCGATCTGCAAGACAGGGTAATGGAACACACCAAGCACAACAGCAAAAAGAAAAAAAAAATTAATGAGGATAGGTTAAAGGATTTCTATGACAACATCAGGTATTATAAGGGGTCCCAGAAGAAGAGAAAAAGGGGCAGAAAACTTATTTGAAGAAGTCATTGTTGAAAACCTCCCTAACGTGGGGAAGGAAAGAGCCAGCCAAGTCTAAGATGCTCGGAGAACCCTACACAAGATGAGCCCAAGAAGGTGCATATCAAGACACATAATTAAAATGTCAAAAATTAAAAGATAAAAGAGAATCTTAAAAGCAGCAAAAGAAAAGCACATAGTTACAAGGAAAACCTCAAAAGGCTATCAGATGTTCTTTCAGCAGGAACTGCAGGCCAGAAGGGAGTGGCATGATATTCAAAGTGCTGGTAAAAACCCTACAATCAAGAGTACTTAACCCCAGCAACGCTAGAACTCAAAATTGAATGACAGATAGTTTCCCAGACAGACAAAAGTTAAAGTTCATCACCACTAAACTAGCCTTACAACAACTGTTAAAGGGACTTCTATAAGTGAAACAGAAAAAGCCATAATTAGAATAAAATTATGAAAAGAAAAAAATGCACTGGTAAAAGCAAATGCATACTAAAGGTAGTAGATCACTTATAAAGCTAGTATGAAGGTTAAAAGACAGAAGTAGTAAATTAATTATATCTATAATAATTAGATAAGGGGCACAAAATAAAAAGATGTAAAATATGACAATATATACATGTATGTATACATACATATACATACAATACATCCGTAAAATACAGAGCCAGGGGTGAGGTGGGAGAGTAAAAACATAGTGCCTTCAGAATGTTCAAACTTAACCAACCATCAGTTTACTTTAGACTGGTATATACAAAGAATATTATATATAAAACTGATAGTAACCACCAACCAAAAACCTGTAACAGATACATAAAAAACAGGAATCCAAACATAATACTAAACAAAGGGATCAAATCACAAGGGAAGAGAGCAAGAGAAGAACAGAGAACTATAAAAACAACCAGAAAACTAACAAAATAGCAAAACATACATATCAATGAATACTTACTTTAAGTGAACTAAATGCACATTTACTTTTAAGTCAAAAGACAGTGACTGAATGGATTAAAAAACAAGACCCATTTATATACTTCCTACAAGAGACCTGTCTGGTGTCAAACATCAGATCCAAAGACACAGACTGAAAGTGAAGGTATAGAAAAAAAAATATTCCATGCAAATTGATGCGGGGGGGGGGCGGGCGCGGAGGAATACTTATACAGGACGAAGTAGACTTTCACAAATTTTTTTTAATGTTTGTTTATTTCTGAGAGACAGAGCACAAGTGTGGTGGGGGGCAAAGAGAGAGGGAGACAAAATCTGAAGCAGGCTCCAAGGCCCTGAGCTGTCAAGCACAGAGCCCATCGCAGGGCTTGGGCTCAAACTCAAGGACCACGAGATTGTGACCTGAGCTGAAGTCAGAGGCTTAACTGACTAAGCCACCCTGGTGCCCCAGGACAAACTAGACTAAAACAAAGACTGTACCAAGAGACAGAGAAGGGCATTATATAATCATAAAAGGGACAACCGAACAAGAAGATACAACAATTGTGCATATTTATGCACCCAACATAGAAGCACCCAAATATATAAAGCAAATACTAACATGAAGAAATTGACAGTAATACATAATAGTAGGGAACTTTAACACCCTGCTCACATCAGTGGACAGATCCTCTAAACAAAAAATCAATAAGGAAATAGTGGCTTTGAATGACACACTGGAACAGACGGATTTAATGGATATATCTGGAACATTCCATCCTAAAAGAGCAGAATACACATTCAAGTGCACATGGAACGTTCTCCAGAACAGATCATATATTAGCCCATAAAACAAGTCTCAACAGATTCAGAAGGAACAAGTCATACCATGCATCTTTTCTGAACACAATGCTACAAAACTAGAAATCAACCACAAGAAAAAAACTGGAAAGACCACAAATACATGGAGGTTAAATAACATGCTATTAAACAATGAATGGGCCAACCAGGAAATAAAGAAGCACATGGAAACAAATGAAAATGAAAACACAAGTTCAAAACTTTTGGGATGCAGCAAAAGCAGCTCCAAAAGGGAAGTTTATAGTAGTACAGGTCCACCTCAAGAAGAAAAATCTCAAACAACCGAACTTTATACCTTTAGGAGCCAGAAAAAGAAGAGCAAAACCTAAAAGCAGAAGGAAGGAAATAATAAAGATTACAACAAAAATAAATGATCAAGTGGAATTTATTCCTGGGTTGCAAGGACGGTTGAATATTCACAAATCAACCAGTGTGATACACATTAACAAAATGAAGGATAAAACTGATATGGTTATCTCAATAGATACAGAAAAAACATTTGACAATATCCAACATCCATTCATGATTAAAAACTCTTACTAAAATGGGTATACAGGGAACAAATCTCAGCATAATAAAGGCCATATATGACAAACCTACAGCTAACACCACACTCACTGGTGAAAGGATGAAAGCTTCCCCCTAAGGTCAGGAACAAGACAGGCATTTCCACTCTCACCACTTTTATTCAACACAGTACTGGAAGTCCTATCCACAGCAGTCAGACAAAAAAATAGTCTGGTAAGAAAGAAGTAAAACTTTCACTATTTGCAGATAACATGATACTAACCTATAGAAAAACTGAAAAGACCCACCAAAAAACTGCTGCAACTGATAAACTCACTAAAATCACAGGATACAAAATCAACGTGCAGAAAATCTGTTGCATTTTAATTTTTTTTTTTTTTAACATTTATTCATTTCTGAGATAGCACAAGGCAGGGAGAAGCAGAGAGAGAAGGAGACACAGAATCCGAAGCAGGCGCCAGGCTCCAAGCTGTCAGCACAGAGCCCGACGCAGATGTCAAACTCACGCACCGCGAGATCATGACCTGAGCTGAAGTCGGACGCCCAACCGAGGCACTCAGGTGCCCCTTCATTTCTATACATTAGTAACAAAGTAGTAGAAAGAGAAATCAAGAAAACGATCCCATTTACAACTGCACCAAAAACAGTAAGATAACTAGGAATAAATCTAACCAAAGAGGTAAAGACCTGCACTCTGAAAACTATAAAGCACTAATGAAAGAAAGTGAAGATGACACAAAGAAATGGAAAGACATGCCAGGCTCGTGGCTGTGAAGAACAAATATTATTAAAACGTCCATACTACCCAATCTACAGATTCAATGCAATCCCTATTAAAATGCCAATAGCATTTTTCACAGAACTAGAACAAATAATCCTAAAATTTGTATGGAACTACAAAA